CGGCGGCGCGACGGGCGGCGGCGCGGGCGGGACGGAGAAAGCGACGGGCGGCGGTGGACGCGCGCGCGGTGCGGCGGACGCGCGATCGAACGGGGGAGAGGGGGAGGGTGACGGTGGAGACGACGACGAGGAGGGGGAGGCGTACGAGGACGAGGAGGATGATTACGACGAGGACGACGATTTCGACGACGACGCGGAGACGGAGGACGACGACGACGAGGACGACGACGACGACGACGACGACGACGACGACGACGACGACGACGACGAGGACGACGATATGCATGATGAGGATGACATGGATGAATTTCAAGACGCGATCGATCGGGACGACCCCGAGGCTGGTTTACGAGCGCTCTTGCGGCGGTTGGGCAACGCCGCCGCCGCCGCGGGCGGGGGAGGAATGTTCCGTCCTGGATCGAGCGGTAAACTGAAAGAAATTCTGCACGGTTTGAGACAAATGCACGATCCATCGGCGCAGATGGCGGCGCTCAGCGAGCTGAACGAGCTGTTAGTGATCTCGGGAGAAGAGTTGATGATGAGCATGTCGCTCGACGCCTTCGTCCCGACTCTGGTGGAACTGATGCAGATGGAGTACATGCCGGACATTATGCTCCTCGCTGCGCGAGCGCTGACGACGATGGCGGATGTGATGCCTCCCTCGAGAGGCGCGATCGTTCACCACGGCGCTCTGCCCCAGTTTTGTCAACGTTTGCTCACCATTGAGTACATCGATCTCGCCGAGCAATCCTTGCAGGCGTTGGAAAAGTTGAGTCAGGAATATGGCGCCGAGTGCGCGCGTCAGGGCGCTCTCACCGCCTGCTTGTCGTATTTGGACTTTTTCTCAATCGGAATGCAGCGCGTGAGCCTGCAGACGGCGGCGAACATCTGTCGCCAGCTTCCGAGCTCGGCTCTCGACGGGGCGAGCGACACCGCGCCCATTCTGACGAACCTTTTGTCTCACGACGATCCGCGCCTCGTCGACTGCGCGTGCGTGTGCTTGACCAATTTAGCGGCGAAGATGGCTAAAGATTCCGACGAGCGGATCGTCGCTCTGTGCCAGGGAGACCTGGTGACGAACGTGATGAACCTCATCTCTCCGCGCGCCGGGCGATCGGTGAGTCCGGCGACGCACCACTTGCTCATCAAGCTCTTGAATATTTGTGCGCGACACAATCCTGAGGTCTCACTCGAGCTCCTTAGGAAGGATTTGCCAGAAACCCTGTGCGTGGCGCTCTCCGGTTGCAAGGTTCTCACCATGGCGAACAGTGGCGCGTCCCCGGCGAGTAGCGGCTTGGCGTCGCCCATAGTCACGTCAGAGCAACTGCTCGAAGTCGCGACGCTTGCTGATGCGTTGTTACCCATCGTCACTCGATCACCGTCGATGAAAAGCAAGTCAAAGTTCTCAAACAACGTCCCGCTGTTGACGAAGCAAGAACCGGAATTGATGGTCAAGTACGCGAATCATCTGACAAGTGTCTTGATGCAAGCGGTGGATTCGAGCGTCCCGCAGACTGTCAAAATGAAGTGCCTGTCAGCGCTCACCAAGTGGACCCAGCTTTCGTCGGAGGAATCATTCAAGATGATTTTGGAGACGACGTCCTTCGCTGCGTTTTGTGCCGCTCAGCTCTCATCTAAGGACGCGCAAAGGATCGTGGGGTGCTTGGATTTGATAGAATTTGGGATGATGAAAAAGAACGTTGACCTGGCAAAGTTACTCCGAAAGGAAGGTGCCGTCCACGCGCTGAAGAAACTTTCCGAGGAGTTCAACGCGTTGCCATCTACTGTGGCTTCAACATCCTCGGTTAAACGTCCGAGCGACGCGACCAAGACACCGGCTGACCAGGTTCCGGCACTCGGCGGCGGCTCGCACGGTATCGCCGTGCGTGCAGCAGCGATGATGACGGATGGTCCGGAGTATCGTGAAGCCTTGTCGCGAGCCGACAAGCTTTATACTAAGAAATTCGTCTTGTCGGGGCACCCGGTTGACGCTGAAGATCCCAGCGTTGAGCGTTTGCGAAGAGCGAGTGCGTCTCTACGAATGAATGGCGACGTGAAGGCTGCCGCTGAATTTTTGGAGTCTGTTTCCGACGCCAGCACTTTCGAGATTTTAGAGAGCGATGCAATCACGGTGCTCAAAGAGTTTCTCCTGCCGAAAGAGTGGCGAGACTCTCACGCTCTCACTCAAAGGTACGCGACGTTGATCAAAGCCACCAGCCACACGAAGAATTCATCCGTGTTCTCGAGCTTGGTGAGACGCCTCTCGGACGCCTTGGCGTCAGCCGAAGACTTGTCCATCGCGGTGACATCGATACAACCGGTCCAAGCTCGTCGAGGTCGCGACAACTCAGCGGATGATGCGAATCTCGCTGGCCTAGTGCGACCGTTTAAAGTGCGATTCAAGCGTGAGAGCAACGGCGCCCAAGGTCTGGCTGACTATTCCAACAACATCGTTTTGGTCGAGCCGTTTGCTACGCTGAGCGCCATTGAAGATTTTTTGTATCCGCGCGTGAACAAACCCGCCGTGGCTCCTCGCAGGTCGTCGCGATTGTCTCCGCCGGCAGGTGTGCAACACGACGACGAGGATGACGACGAAGAGGATGAGGATGAACACATGAGCGACGATGACGATGACGAAGTGTTCGGAGACGATGGCGAAGGTGATGGGCGAGACCTGGACTTGACGAACGAGGACATTTCGCCAGAAGATGCGTTAGATGAATATGAGGATGATCACGTAGGTAGATCAGACTCGTTCGCCGCTCGCGCGGCCGCTGCAAATGACACTAGGAAGCTTGTCTTTTCTGTGAACGGTGTCGTACTGAACTCATCGACCACGGTGCTGCAAGCTGTCGCCGCCATCGCTCGTTACGAGGGGATACCCATGTCCGAGCAGAATTGGGAGAAGGCCAATACCATCATGTATAGGGCTGTGAAGCCCTCGGACGTGGACCCGAGTCCATTGCAGCTCGGTGGCGTCCAAGATGTTCCCAAGGACGAGTTGGACAAGATCACCGAGGCAGTCGCAGAACTTGGGAACCGAGACGTGAGAGCGGCGTTGGGTTCTTTTGTGCCAGCTCTCAGTGACGCGGTGAAAGATGCCGTCGCGAACGAGAAATCTTCAGCACAGTTCAACGACTTACTGAGCATCTTATTCGTGCTGCATGAAATCGGAGTTTCTGCGTCTCAAATCTTGCTCTTAGACGGACGCGACGAGCAAGTCACCGCCGCTCGCAGCGTCTCTCTGCCAAAGGAATCTTTCGTTCACGGTAAGCTCACCGGAAAGCTTACGCGACAGCTCCAAGACACTATCACTCTTTGTAGCTCCACAACGCCCACTTGGTGCACGGCGCTCGCCAGCACGTGCCCGTGGTTGTTCCCTTTTGAGCTGCGGCTCAAGATGTTCAAGTGTGTGTCGTTTTCTCTGTCTCGCATGCTCCACCACCTTCACGGGGACGGCAGCGATGCGGGAGCGGTGACGACGGATGGTGGGCGAGAGATCAGAATTGGACGTCTTCAGCGGCAAAAGGTCAGAGTGAATCGCAACCAGATCTTTGAGAGCGCGAGAAAAGTTTTCGACATTCCCAACACGTTGAAGATGGTGCTCGAGGTTGAATTCTTCGAGGAGGTCGGCACTGGCACCGGTCCGACGCTCGAGTTTTTTACACTGCTTTCGAAACAGTTCAAGCGACGTAAATTGCAGCTCTGGCGCGATAGCGGCATCGCAAATGAAGAGGACCTCGTCGTGGCACCTCACGGTCTTTTCCCTGCTCCGATGGCGGCTCCGCGAATGTCTGGTAAGACCCACGCAAGTCGCATCAAAAACTTCAAGCTTCTCGGACAAGCGATCGGCAAAGTCTTGCAGGACGGTCGTATGCTAGATCTTCCACTCGCACCCGCGTTTTACCGCGCCTTATTGGGCAGATGTCTCGGTCTTCAGGATCTTATTGAGATTGATCCAGGGCTCGGGAACACGTTGCGGCGTCTTGACGCTGCGGCGAACGAAATCGAGAACATGAAGCGTCAAGGCTTACCGGAGAGCACGTGGAAGCAAGTTACCGTGGATGGCGCTAACATTGAGGATTTGTGTCTTACTTTCGTCGTTCCAGGCTCATCGGTGGACCTCATCAAGGGTGGGTCTGACATCGTCGTTAACGAAGTCAACTTGCGTGAATACGTTGACGCCGTCGTCGAGGCATGCGTTGGATCTGGCGTTGCGTCGTATTTCGAGTCTATTCAAGCCGGCTTGGAGGAAGTTTGTCCCGTCGCCAGGCTGAGAATGTTCGACGAGGCAGAGCTTGATACTCTGATTTGCGGTCAGGGCGAGGCCTGGACGCCTGAGTTGCTCACTGACTGCATCACTTTCGACCACGGATACAACGCGCAGTCTCCGCCGATCAAGAATTTCTGCGACATTTTGAGTTCATTCACACCCGAGCAGCAACGTGCGTTCATGCGGTTCGTCACCGGTGCCCCGAGACTTCCTCCCGGAGGCTTGGCTGCGCTTCAACCTCGTCTTACAGTTGTCTGTAAACAACCGGCCCCTGCGGTTGGTTCATCATCAGACTCAGGTAACCTTTCGGCTGGAACGCCGCTCGCGGATGGCGACTTACCCTCGGCGATGACGTGTGCGAGTTACCTGAAGCTCCCGCCGTACTCCTGCAAAGAAGTCATGGCGGAACGACTCAGGTACGCGATGTGCGAGGGGCAAGGATCCTTTGACCTCTCATAATAGATTTTCCACTACTAGTGCGCTCTCATTAAAGGGACACTTGTAAATGTATGTACTTCGATTACATGATGCGTGACGTGAGCTAATAACGCGAAGAAATGTTTACAAATCAGTAACCAGAGCGGTACTGTGGACCGGAGTTGTAATGCGGCGGTGGGGGTGGGGGCGGAGGCGGCGCGCTGGGCTGCCCGTATTGTGGGGACGGATATGCGTACTGCGGCGGTGGCGAAGCGTGGTAATAAGCTTGCTGCGAAACATTCATCTGACTCATGCGCATGGCCATTTGTTCTGCACGTGCTTTTTCCGCCCGAAGCTCCTCCCCCAGCGCTTCCTTCTCCATTCGACGAGCACTAGCGTAATCTTGAACGTCCGCCAACGTACGACGAGCAGCCTCGAGGAAACCCGTGTAAAATCGCATTCCTTGCTCCATGCCTCCGCGCAAGTCCTCGACGACGGAGAGTGCGTGACGAATGTTGTGTTCGTGCGACTGCGTTTCTCTTCGCAAGCCTTCAATGTCGTAAATCTGGACAAATTTCTCTTGAAGCGAACGCAATCGAGAGAGAGCATCGGACTGTCTAGAAATATTCATCATCACCGCCTCCTTTACCTCATCATACTTTCGGATTTCCTCTTCGAACAGAGCGTCCAAGCTTTCGCCCACGCGCGCCATGAGCTTAGCGAGGATGTTATCTTCAGCCTTGGTCTTTCGCATCAAATCTTCTATCCCGGCTCGCTCGTTACCGATCTTTTCAATCTCTTCGAGAGTCGACTGAATGTTCACCGCCACGGAAGCATCCTCCTCGATCAGCGCGAGCGGCTGCGTCAACAACGGTGCGTTGTTTTTCATGTTTTCTTCGGTGAGCTGTTCCAGCACGCCATCCGCGCCTTCCACGCGCGATTTCAGTTGCTCATCACTCTTTGTCGCGATCTCTAGGTCGACTTCGAAGCGTTTCAGCGCTTGCATCATCTCTCTGTTCTTCGCAGATGACGATTCTCGGCGCCATGCTCCTTCTCCGTGTACGGTGCGCGCTGCGGAATCTTCCGCGGCTTCCGTCTCAAGTATTTCGCGAATCATCTTGACAGTGCTTGCGCACTGGCGACTGAGCTCATCGACGCGATTCAGACTAGCCGTCAACGCGCGGGCACCGCCCGATGACCGAAACGCGGCGACTCGCTCCTCTAAATCGCCTCCGAGAGGGGCGGGCGTGGACAACGCGACGAGCGTCTCGGGAAGTTCCATCTCGCGCAGAGCGAGCCGCGCCTCGTCGCTCGCCACCGCGAGAAGATCCGTCTCATTTCGAGTCAACTCATCCACCATCTCCGTGTATCGACTCAATGCCTTGGCACCACTGTCAGGGACGATGCTGGAGAACAGCGTCATGCCGACCGGAGAGAAGTGTTCCGCGGGCGGCGCCACCGTCTTGACGAGACTCGTCCCCGTGAGCGCGGGTAAATCCTCCGCCTTTGGCACGCGAGTCATGTACACGCACTCGTTATCTTCCTCCAGGTTAGCGAGCTCGGGTGTGATCTCTTCGTTGAGGAGGTGCTTAACCCTCTCGAGACCGCTGTCACTCGAGACGACCGCGGACTGTTTAATCGCCATGGAGAGCGCGTCCTTGGCTTGTCGCAGGCGAGCGATCGCCGGGCCAACGTCCGTCTCATCGACGGCGAGAATGACATTGGCGCTCAGTCTGAATGCGATGGCGCTGAGATACGCTCGCTTCAGTTTGACGTAGTTCACTAAAGCGTCGTCCACGTAGCCGATCAGTTTCGAAGACGCTCGCTCAGCCTCGTCGTAATACGAGCGCGCCTGCTCTGCGAGCTTACACACGACTGACCCACTGCTATTCATGGCCTTCGCCTTGAGATAGAAGCACTCCTGCGCCTGCGCGAGATGAAGTTTGATCATGACGTCACAGTATTCGCGACCGAGATCGGCGCTCGGCGTCGCGACGCCCCCCCCGAGCTTACGCTCGCTCACGTCGGCGAGAAACGCAAACGCCCCGGCGGCGGATTGAAACGCCGCCGCCGCCCGCTTCACCCCCTCCGCATCGCCCTCATCGGATCCAAACTTCGCTCCTTCCCTCGAAAACGTCACCGCGTAGTTATACAACACCGCGCACTTCTCGTACTGCACGTTCGGGACGGCGACCGCTTTCGGAGACGCTCTCGGACCGCGACCCGCGTCGCGCCACGAAAACTCCACCCGAGCGTGTTCGCTCGCGCTCGATATCGGTATCCTCGACTCAATCGCGCACAATCCCCTGTAGTACTCACGCAGCGCTTCTCGCGCGTCCGCCCAACTCCCCGAGCTCGATCCCGCGTCCTCCGCCCGCGCCGCCGCGCCGTCCCGCAGGCGCTGCGCCTCCCCGAAATCATCCCCGCACGCCGCCGCATCACCCTCGCTCAGCGTCGACGCCACGTACGCACGAAGCGGCGTCACGAGATCCGTCGATTCCGCCTGCGCGCGCGTCGCGTCGACGACGCGCCCGTCGTCAGTCTCGTCGTCTCTACTCGCGTCGTCGTCCAACCACCCGTTTTCCATCCACCCCCTCGACCCATCGAGCGCCGTTCGCGCATCCGCGTCCGCGTCGCGCCGTCATTCATCGACGCACCGTCTTCACGCGACAGGCGTAGAACATCGACGAACGCGCGCGCGAGGGAATCGCCGTCGCGCGCGATGCGATGGTGGACCAAACGTTGGGACGTAGGGTTTAGTTGGTGTGATCTAGGGTTTCGTACACGGGACCCCACGGCCTCGACTACGACGGTCGACGCCCACGTCTCGGTCGTCCGCGGGGCCATAAACATCATTCGTCGGACATATGGGACGTCTACAACATTACAAAAGTCCATGTCGTCCATCGCGCGCGCGTCGTGGTCCAGCGTGGCCGAGCGGTCGACGACGTGTGGGTTCAATCGAACGCCTTGCACTCGATCGCCCCGGGATCGGCGTCGCACAGCGCGTCCATGGGGTCCTTCGTCGTCGGCGGCGTCGTCGCGCGCGCGCGTTGCGCCGAGGCGTACATCGCGCGCGCGCCGGGGACGTCTTTTTCGATCGCGGCCCAATCGGCGTCGGTCCGCGCGTTCTGCATGCGATTCTTTTGATACCCGCTGAGGGCGTCGTAGGCGGTCGATCGAGCGATGACGACGCGTGTGGCGCGCGTGGTGTGACGATGGACCGCGGTGTGGACGGGCGCGGGGGCGCGAGGGCGGGTGAACATGTTTTAGATGCGTCGGCGAGTGGAGGGACGGCGGCGGTTGAGCGACGGGCGATGGATTATTACGGCGAGTCTCACGCGACGTCGATCCCGGACCAGCGATCGTTGAGGTCCATGTCGAGGGCTAAAAAAACAGTCTCGGCCCATCCCTCCATCCCGGGACTCTCGGGGTAGAAGACGTCGGGAAGCTCGCAGTTGGCGCACGCCTCGGCGGAGGTTTCGCCGATGCATACGTAGGCGGGTTGTAAAGCGTCCTGGTCCGCGGTGAGGCGATCGTAGAGCGCTTGACCGCAGAGCTCGACCCAAGCGTGCACTGCACTTGGGCTTCCGAAGGTGACGACGTCGGCGCACACGGCGTCGGCGATGTCTTCCGCCCGTAAGGTTTCCACGCGCTCGGTGGAGTACGTGTTCAGGCGAACGACCATGGCGCCGCGCGCCTCTAATCCGTCCTGCAGCGTCGTCGCCGCCTTCTTACTCGCCGGATATAGAATTAATGACCCCTGATCGCACGGAAGCTCCGCCGCGAGCGTCACCGCCGTCGCCTTGCTCGGTATGAACTGTTTCTCCGCCGCGAACGCCTCGGGCTCCGCCTTTGTCAGCACCTTCCCCGTCGCCGCTCCGACGACCGCCACCCGCACCCCCTCCGGCCTTCCCGCCTTTACGTACGCGTCGAGAAACACCTTCGCAGCCTCTGGTGACGTCACGCACACCCAATCCCAGCGCTCGCGCGTTAAAACGTCCGGCAATCCGTCCGCGTCCTCGCCCGGGACGGCTTCGACGAGCGGCAGCTCCACGCACCGAACCCCACGAGCCTTCAACATGTTCATCAGTGCCCCATTCTTACCGCTCTCCCGCGTGCAGACGACTGTTTTTGAGGCGTAGGACGACGCCGAGGAGGACGGCGTCGAGCGCACGGAGGCGGCGCGGTGGCGAGCTGATGAAGTGGAAGAATTCACTCGAGAGCGATGAGACGGCGCGGTGACGCGCGAGATCTGCGCTCGGGACATCGCGAGCGCGATGCGTGACACCGAGATTGTCTCCCGACAGATTCAACGCGCGACGACGCGCGAGTACGGGTCGGTGGCGACGAGGTCTGCGGACGCCGGGGAGCCCCGGCGCGACCCTCGCCGAATGGGACGCGGGCGAAAGCGGAGTCCGTGAGATCGACACCGGATCGAAGCGTTGGGCTTCTTGGCTATGATTAATGTGTGACGTTATCGCTAGGTGTGCTATGTCGTTTCTAAGTCGCGATGAACGATCAACGTCGTCGCTTGGAAGGTGTCTCGGAGGTCATCGCAGAGGCGGATTTGTACAGTCTCCCGCACTTCAGGAGCTCACCAGCTATGTTCAGGCCCTCGATGAAGCTGTCGACGTCGGCGATGCCGAGGTTAAGATCCTCGGCTAGAGCGTGAAGATCCCCCACGCTAAAGTACGGGGATTCGTTAGATGAAGTACGAGCGTTGATGGCCTCGATGAAGAGCTTGGTCTTGCTTCGCTTGGTGGATTTACCTCCGGCGCGGTTAAATCGCAATCGTCCGTGCTGATCGCTCAATGCATCGACCAGAGAAGCTTTGATGATCTCCACCGCATCTTTAGCGTCGTTCGCAGTGACTTCTGTACGAAGCTCGAGTCTAGCGCGAGCCTCGGATAGTCGCACAAGAGACTCGAGCTGCCGCGCCGTCACTGGCGTCCCATCCGCTGGCGCACGAGAGCGCAACTCGAGATAAAAAGTCTGAAGTACCTCTGCAGCTTCGGGCGTGAGCCTTGGATGACAGTATGCGTGCGCGTACGAGATGTACTTGCGCATGATGTCGTGGGAAAGGATCTCCATGGAATCATTGACGACTCGCAATCTGGCACGAAGGGGGACATATGGCGCTGTGCCAGGTCCTAAATCCTGCGTCACAGCGCGCTCCGTGGCGTCTTCCAGCGCCTGTCCGTCGTTATCTATTTCGTTGTAGTAGGCATGCAAGTTTTGGCGCGCTTGCGCGCGGCGCGCTTGATTATGCCTTCCACTGTGCTGTGCGATGACGTGCTCACTGAGGTGCTCGTCCAAGATTTCATCCGCCATGTCCAACAATATGAAAATCAAATCGAATCGACTGAGTAACGGCGCAGACATTTTCAAATTTTCATTCACTGTTTTAGCGCGGTTGTAGTGCCCTTGTACCGGATTCGCGGCAGCGATGATGGACGTTCGAGCCGGAAGCGTCGCGTTCAGACCGGCTTTGCACACTGACACACTCTGCTGCTCCATGGCCTCAAGCAATGATTGGTGCTCGTTCGGCATCTTGTCGAACTCATCCACGCAGCACACACCGCGATCGGCGAGTACAATGGCGCCAGCTTCGAACGTTTGCGCTCCAGTTCCCGGGTCTCGCACCACCGCCGCTGTAAGACCGGCGGCAGAGACGGTTCTCCCACACACGTAAATTGAACGAGGCGCAAGATTGGAAACAGCCTTAAGCATCTGGCTCTTACCAAGACCTGGGTCACCGACGACGAGACAGTGCAGTGATCCACGCGTGGGAACTTTTCCACATCCAGAGACTGACTTCCTGACCCCACCGAACAAACAGAGAAGGAGCCCGAGCTTGACGATGTCGTGGCCAAAGATAGAAGGGCACAATGAGTGCACGAGCGTTCTAACTATGTCCTCTCCACTCTGCTGGCTGAATTTCGCAATGAATATCAGATCCTCTTTGGATAGTGTCGGAGCGAGCATTGCCTCAACATCGTCTTCGTCCCGCGTTTTCACTCGCTTATCGTTCACTCTAAACGTTTTCTTCTTACGCATCGAAGCAACGTATTGATTATGTCCGCCAGCCACACCTTCCGAGTCATTCTCTTTCTCCCCGTCTTCGTCCTCAATTCCATCGTCGACATCGTCATCCATCCCTTTGGAATTATCCCCCTTACCTCCCCGCGACACCGTGCAAGACCACGCGCTGAGGTAGAGCTCGCTGAGGGCTTGATTCCGCCCACGCCCGAGCGCCCCGCCTCCTGTCTCTGACGTGTCGCTTTCAACCACTCCCAGAATCGTCACCACGTCTCCAGGGGAACACGAGTCCGTGAGAGCTGCTCTGAGCTCACAATCCATGAAACGAGGAACCCGTCCCTCCTCGCTCATCACGCCATCGTCTGCTATTTCCTGTATCCGCACTCTCTGCGAGTCAGCGCACTCAACGTTGCTGAGCTCGTGCACGAATTTCTTCCCCCGGCATCGATCTGTCGAGCACGCGAGTGGAGGTCGATACTTCCCATCCTTGAACGTGCACCTCGACCTTTCTTGACACGTCTGACATGCGAAAACCATGTGTGTCACCGCCGGTTTTATCGGCGCCGCTCGAGTAACCGTCCCTCGCAGGCTCACCACTCGTCCCACCACGTTGCTCTTCACCGCCGCGAACCGCACCTCACTCTCCTGATAGTTTCTTAGCTTCACCCACGTCGTCATGACGCTCGATATCCGCACGTCTCCCGCCGGAATCCCGTGCGCGTCCTGTAACCACGCGCGGCTGTCTACGTCCTCCAGCGCCGCCTCGTGCGCCGCGCACCGCAGGCACGCCATGCACTCCAACGGTGCGCACGTCAGCGCCGCGTGTAGATCCGGCGCCGCCATCGATGCCTTCGCTCTGAGACGCTCGTAATCCATCTCGATCGCCATCGTCGCGTCATCTCGAATCTCCGCCTGTCGCGCGTCGATTCAAAATCAGTCTCAGCGTTCACCCTCGCGTCGTCGATGCACGCGCGCACGCACCTCGCGAAGGAATTCTCGCCCGGCATCGCTCGTGAAGAAGGTCTTCAGCCCTCGTGTGAGCTCGGCGCGGCGGTCGCGGGCGTCGTAGGAGACGTCGGGGAAGTAGATTTGCCATGATTTCGGGCACCGGAGCGCGGCGAGCGCGACGTTCTCTCGCTCGTTCGCGCGCGATTGTTGCGCCGCGGCACCGCCGGGTGGGACATCGCCGGGCATTGTTCAGAAACGCCCGCCGTCCCGCGGATCGGGACGGCAACGCGCGAGGCGAAGTGGGGCGGGGCAAAGGAAAACCGAAAGCTCGTGCGCTCGTGTTGACAACTCTATCCTAAAGACCCGCACGCAAAGGGCGAGAAGTGACGGCGATCAAACGTGAACGTTCGATGCGATCCATCGCCATCTCATCCATTCGCGTCCGCGTCGTCGTTGAGGAACGAACGAAACGGTCGTGCGCGCGACGCTTGCGCGCGAAGAGACACCCAGCCGACTAGAAATTGATATCGCTCACACCCCACGACGCTTAAGACACGGTTTGCATCGCTTCATCGGCGGAGCCGGAGGCACCACCCTTACGCGCCAAGAGAGCCTTACGGTCCTTATCCATGTGGAGCTTGGTGATGATGCACTTGGACGGGTCAACACCGACTTGGATTTGCGTGCCTGTATCCGTCAAAAAAAACTTGCTCGTCAGTCTCGCGCACTTTCTCGCTCGAATGTCGCCTTGACCCCCTTCGACGCCGCCGCACTGCTCGATCACCCCTACGAACGTGCTCGATCGCCCTCAGACGCCCACGAACGCCCACGAACGCCCTCGAATCACCCGTTTCGCGTTCTCTCTCATCCCTCTCCACTCTAGGGCTTTCACCATCGATCTCACATCATCAAATCCCTCCCTCGCGCGTCGTTCGAACAACGTACCGTTCACCTTATCCCGCGTGATGTTGGCGATGTGAATCACCCACTTCTTGCGGTACACCTGCACGACCTTCCCTTCGCGGTTCTTGAACGAACCCCGAGTGACTCGAACTTCGTCGTTCACGCGAATCGGAACCGCGTTCGCGCCGTGCTGAGCCTTGAGCTCGGCGGAGAGCGCGGCGGACATCAACTTGCGGCGCTCCGAGGAGGGGGCGGTGAAGTGCGCCTTACGCGTCTTACGACGGGACGACGTGACGGCGGTGCTGTACTTCATCGCGTGGCGTCGCAGAGAGACGGCGAGGCGGACGCGCTAGGGCTCGTTCGGGCCTCGCGCGGTCCGTGTGTCCGGTCGTTCGGGCAGTTGTGTGTCATGTTCGTACTGTGTGGTGTTCGTAACCCATGACGTGGTTTTTATTGTGAATATCGACGGCGATCGATCGACGACGCGCTTTTTACTTTGATGGGGACTTTGTCTCCATAGTACGAGTCGCCGGCGCCCGCGACGGTGCCGGCGACCGCGCGTCGCCCCGACTCGGCGTCGCCGCGCGCGTTCGTGGTCGATATGGGACCCCCGAGGGCGCGCGAATACTCCGTGGAGGTTCCCGGGACCGGTGGACGCGAAGAGACGGCGATCAGGAGGTGCGACGACGACGCATTCGACGCGATCGCGCGCGTAACCGTCGCGAGGGACAATCCAGCTCGGATTCCAAAGTTTCCCAGTTATCGACCGTTCGAGGACTGACGAGGGCGAATCGCGACTGGTAGGAACTCCGCGTACGTCGATGCCCTCGTCACTGGGTTTCCGCCGCCGCACGATCGCGTGTGGACGTTGCACGACGCGTGGGAGAGCGCGTTGTCGAGGCACGCGAGAGAAAAGTGTCTGGGCGCGCGCGTCGTCGATCGTGCGACCGGTGCGGCGGGTTCGTACGCGTTCAAGACGTTTGAAGAGGTGGGACGGGAACGAGCGATGGCGGGGGGGGCGCTCGCGGCGCTCGGGATCGGGAAAGGGGCGAGGGTTGGATTGTATTCGATCAACTCGCCGGAGTGGGTGGCGTGCGAGGCGGCGATGACGAGACAGGGCGTGACCTCGGTACCGCTCTACGACACGTTGGGTCCGGACGCGGTGGTGTACATCTGTAATCACGCGTCGTTGGCTGCGGTGGCGTGCTCGCAGGCGGTGCTAAAGACGATGGTGGGATGCCTCCGGGAGACGCCGACGGTGAAGCTCGTCGTGTGCTACGGCGGACGAGGCGCCGGAAGCACGGACGAGGCACTCGTCCGCGACGCGCGACCGAGTTTACCCGCGGGCGTGCGTCTGGTGACGTACGAAGAGTTTTTGGCCATCGGGGCGCAGAATCCGACGCCTCCAACCCCGGCATCACCGGACGAACTGGCGACGATTTGTTACACGTCTGGCACCACGGGCGCGCCCAAGGGCGTGATGCTCACGCATCGAAACTTAATATCCAACGCCGCCGGATATGCGTTTGATTTGGATATCTCGCCGTCAGACTGTCACATCTCGTACCTTCCGTTGGCGCACATTTACGAGCGAGTGACAATGTTGGTCGTCCTGTTCAACGGCGCGCACGTCGGCTTCTATCGAGGCGACGTCTTGCAACTTCTCGACGACATCAACGAGCTCAAGCCCACGGTTTTCTGCTCGGTGCCGAGGCTTTGGAACAGGATATACGACAAAGTGAACGCTGGCGTCCGTGAGGGTAGCATCGTGGCGCAGAAGCTGTTTCACTGGGCGTACGAGTCAAAGAAGCGAGCGCTCGACAGAGGCCAGGCGCCAAACGCCTTCTTCGAGAAGGTGGTGTTTTCCAAACTCCGCGCAAAACTCGGAGGCCACGTTCGATACATGTCCACTGGTTCAGCTCCGATCAGCGCCGAGGTCATGCAATTTCTCCGCGTATGCTTCGGCGGAACCGTCTTTGAGGGCTACGGCATGACTGAGTCCGCGTGCGTCATCTCGAAGACGTCCCAGGAGGACTTCACGACGGGTCATGTGGGTGCTCCCGCGCCGTGCTGCGAGATCAAACTCGTGGACGTTCCAGATATGCGGTACACTCATCAGGATCGTCCTCATCCTCGAGGAGAGATCTGGGTCCGCGGTCCAAGTGTTTTTGTCGGGTACTATAAGAACGAAGAGGAGACAAACGCAGTGCTCGATTCGGACGGATGGCTGCGAACCGGCGATATCGGAACCTTCCTACCGGGCGGACGCCTGAAAATCATCGATCGTAAGAAGAATATCTTTAAACTCGCTCAGGGAGAATACGTTGCACCGGATAAGATTGAACAAATCTACGCCCGCAACAGGTTCGTAGCCCAGAGCTTTGTCTACGGAGACAGCCTGCAAGCGCATCTCGTCGCGATCGTCGTCCCAGACGAAGAGGTCTTACTTCCTTGGGCGAAGACGTCCGCGGATTTATCAAAGTTGGACTTCAAATCGCTTTGCGCTCATCCAAAGGTGAAGAAGCATATTCTGGATAGCATGGTTCGCACGGGCTCCGAGGCGGGACTGAAGGGGTTCGAGCAGGTCCGCGCAATCGAGCTCTCACCGGAGCTCTTCTCGGTCGAAAACGGGCTCTTCACCCCGACTTTTAAGTTGAAACGACCACAGGCGCTCGAGCGATTCAAGCACTCGATCGACGCCATGTACGCCGCAACGTCCAGGTAGACCACGTAGCAACCACGACGTCCGAAGTTAGTTACGACCGTTTGTGCATTAACATCACTTCACCGCATTAAATCGTCGGCGACGTACTCGCGTTCGATCTCGTGGGGTGGATGCGTGAACGTGCGAAGTGATTACAAACTCTGACCGATCTCGACGACGGGTTCCTACTACATGAGACCTGATTCCGTTCATCACGGTGGTTCCCCTTAAAACAGTTTGAATTGGAAGGCAAAAAATCTTTGGGATGGTGGTGTTAAATGAACACCAGGTTTAACGTCCAGCCAGAACGCTCGAAGCTTCGATGCCGGACGGTTTTTGGTTTTTTTTCTTCTTCGTTATGGCTAGATCCGATCGTGAGACGGATGTTTACGCGGAGGTGAACTTGGTCACCGCCTTGGTCCCTTCGGACACGGCGTGCTTCGCGAGCTCACCCGGGAGGATGAGTCGGACGGCCGTTTGGATCTCGCGGGACGTCACCGTCGGCTTCTTGTTGTATCGCGCGAGCTTGGCGGCCTCGGTCGCGATCTTCTCGAAGATGTCGTTGATGAACGAGTTCATGATGGACATGGCCTTGGAGGAGATGCCGGTGTCTGGGTGCACTTGCTTGAGGACCTTGTAGATGTAGATCTTGTAGGTCTCCGTCTTGGACTTGCGGCCACCCTTCTTGGCGCCGGACGGCTTCTTTTGAGCGGGCTTCTTACCGGCCATCGTGACTGAGTGTTCTTAACGCGTGTCAAGTTGTGACGAATCGGCGTGCAGGCGCGCGCAACTTCGTCGTTTCCGGTGAGTTCACGAGCGGGCTCTCTTCGAGTCATTACTCGTGGGCCTCTGTCATTGGCCAATCAAAATAGATTTTTTGAAAATAATTGGTCATTTTGTCACTTTCTCGGGTCACGACCGGTCACAATGAGAGGGTAATGGTACGATAAACGAATCACATTTGCGCATTTGAAAATAAATGATCGAAAATGATATATAATGAGTCGTGATCTAGATATTATGTCATGTACCCGGTACACAGCAACGCGACGGTTCGCGTAGACGAAGCGACCCAGCGCGCGTCGCGATTCGTCACAACTCGACGCTCACGTTTCGTGAACGCTCACAATGTCTGGACGAGGAAAAGGAAAGACCGGTAAGAAGGCCATGAGCCGCTCCGCCAAGGCGGGCCTTCAATTCCCGGTCGGTCGCGTCGCTCGCTACCTGAAGCAAGGCAAGTACGCCACGCGCGTGGGCGCCGGCGCGCCGGTGTACCTGGCGGCGGTCTTGGAGTACCTCGCCGCGGAAGTTCTCGAACTCGCCGGTAACGCGAGCCGTGACAACAAGAAGTCGCGCATCGTCCCGCGCCACATCCAGTTGGCGATCCGCAACGACGAGGAACTGTCCAAGCTCCTCGGCACGGTGACCATCGCGAGCGGCGGCGTCTTGCCGAACATCCACTCCGTCTTGTTGCCGAAGAAGTCGAAGAAGTAAACGATTTCAATTATGATCGATGTAGGCCGACGGATGGGCGTGTTTTTCAACGCGACGTCGTCGGGTGTACGTTTTAATGAACAGTTGTAGCGAATTAGACACTCCTCTGCCGCACTCTTCGACACTTCGAGACGCGGCGGCTCGACGCGACGCGACATGGGGCGAAACTCCGGGACGAACGCGCAGGGCAATCACTACAACACCCCCGGCGGGACGAACACCGGCTCGGGGTCGTCCTATCACTGTGCGTTCGCGACGCGCGCGCGCGATCGATCGCATCCGAGTCAGCAGGCGGGCGACTGACGAAGTTTGGACGTCGCAGACTCGAACAGGGACGGGTCGTACTACTACGCCAACGATAATGGATCGACGTATTATAACTCTGGATCGGGATACGCGTCGTACACGCCGCCGAGCGGTGGATCGAGCGGCGGATCGAGCGGCGCGGCGAAGGGGCGATGAGCGCGAGACGAGACGAGACTGGATTCGCATCTAGCGCCGACGCGCTTGTCTTTACCGCACCGCTCGAAAGCGATGATTTTTGATTGTACACCGCATCGCGTTTCCCGTTTCGTGTTCGTTCGTTCGTTTGCTTTTTGTCGCGGTGGTCGAAACATTGTATCCCACGCGTCGACGCGTCCCGACCACATACCCCGTCGCCGACGATCGCGATGAATCCGACGAATCCGAATCCTCGCGTTCAACTCATCGTTAACGCGGTGTCGGCGACGCGATGCGCCGACGCCGTGCTCGCCCTCGGGGGGTCTCCATGCATGGGCGCGACGACGCCGGAGGAGACGAGAGAGACGGCGAGCAAGTCTCACGCGACGCTGGTGAACTTCGGGACGCCCACGAGCGAGGAAATCGCATGGGCGGCTTTGGACGCGCGCATCGTCGTCGTAGATCCCGTCGGGATCGGGTTGGCGACTCGAGGGGCGGTGATCAAGAGGTGGTTGGAGGAGCGGCGGCGGCGGATGCTCGCGGCGCACAGAGAGTACAAATACTCAAGTTGCGTCGAAACGCTCATGGTGACGGTGATCAAGGGAAATAGAAGTGAGATGGAGGCGCTGTTGCGACTCTATGGGCTAGGGGAGGACGTGGCTACGTTGGGAGCGAAGATTTCATCCACGCCGGATTACGAAGCGACTACTGAGAGTGAGAAAGTTCACTCCCAAATCGCAGACGCCCTGTGTCAGCTGATGTATTCACTTTACCCAGTGACGGCCACACTGTGCACGGGAAAATTTGATTACAGAGCGTCGTGCGACTGGTCCGATGATGTGGGAGAGTGTGACTTTGTGACTGCGGGTAGGACTCGCGAGACGCCGTCTGTTCGTGCTTTCAGTAAGTTCTCAGGCGCGGGATGCGTGCTAGGCGCCGTCTTAGCGACACATTTAGCTCAGCATATCGGACCGGGAACGACGAATGAAGATGTAGTTTGGTACGTGGAAAGAGCGGCGTGTGCGTATAGAGCTCTTGGAGCCGACATTGAGCAATCTGAGCCGTCTGCCGGTCCGACTTCATTTCTAGCACGTTTCATGGACAGGTTGGCTGAGCCGGATAGTTTTAGGGAGACTGATTATAATTAGATTCGCATTACGATTTTTGTAGGGAGGTAGGTAATTACAAAATATTACACACACACTCGGAGATTAAATTAAGTAAAGCTCTCAGACTTTGCCTGCCGCGCCCTTGGTTGGCGCATCTTCGTTTTCTTCGGGCAGTTCAAAGTCTTCCCACCTGAAGATATACATCAGGGAGACTTCCATCGCGAGAACGAAGGAGAAGAACAGGCTCGTGAACGCCCAAGTTGCCATGCTTCCGACGTATTTCACCTTCGAATCAGGACCATACCAGAACGGGCATGCCGCGAGAAGGGTGAGCATCATAAAGAACCACGGAATCGGGTTGGAGAGCATCTTGTCAACCTTCTTACCGATGAAGAGCGGACGACCTCGACCGCCCTTCGATTCGGAGTTCTTCTCGACGACTGGTGACGCAGCGCTGGGCGCTAATACGAACCTCTCGACCATGGTGTACGCCAAGACGACTCCGATGTTGATCAAAAAGGCGAAGACACACGTGTTCCATCCGCTCGAGTGCTCGTCGAGACCGAGGTTCCTCTTGACGTTGAACCCAGTGTCCAGGACGAAGGCCAAACCGGAGACAATCCCAGCAACCATTCCGGCCAAGACAGCCTCACCCGATAACCAGTGCAAGTGCAGACCGCCCCAGACGGCTGGGATGGCGTGAATCGGCGTGACAGTTTGGATAGAGAACAGACCGGTGATGTCAGGCTTGCCCTCTCGGATGTTCAAGATGGACAGCGATAGACCAATGGCGAGCGCAGAGAGAGAAGATATGAGACCGACGACTCGGAGAGCGCTCGGATCGACTGGTGCCTTGGGACCGAAAATCTTCTGAGCGTACGGCTCGTAAATATCCCGAATGAACATCGTGCTGAAGGCCAGCAAACCAGAGTCAGCGGTGGAGATCATTGCGGCGAAGGCTGCGAGTACCAAGAGCGACGCTGCGAAGTCGCCAAACGCGCTCGCATTCTTCAGCTGAAGTGCAAGTTTACCGAATATAGACTGCTGATTGACGATGTCCGCCAGACCAGTCTGACCGCGAAGCGCGTACACAGCGGTCCAACCGGCGATCATGGTGGATAGCTGGACCCAGAAGAACGTAAAGTTCATCCCGGCCAACCCGCGTTGAAGCATCTTTCGATCCTTCGCGACGAACAGTCGCATCGCAAGATGTGGAAACATGGTCGCCGCCACCGCCACTCGGAGTGTGAAAGAGGTGTAGGAGATTATCGACCAAGATCCATCCGTCTTCGGGATCTTTTGGAACTTGTCAATCTCGACGAAGTACTCCTTTGCCCGCTTCAACCCACCGAACTCAACACCGCTGGCGATGAAGAAGATCAACGAGCCAGCGATGAGCATGACCCCTTGAATGACGTCAGTATACGCGACGGCGCGGAGACCACCGACGACTTCGACAACGATCATGATGAGGGCGAAGATCAAGATCCCGCCTGTCTCTCCAATGGCTCCCGCCGTGAACGCCTCGACGATTTTGCCCATCGACACGAATTGCGAAATTTGATACGTGAAAATCGGAAGTAACAGGCATCCCCAGGTTATCACTCTCAAGGCGTGCGCGGTGAGCTGTGACCGAGAGTTCGGCGCCGAAAACCGATCGTACACGACCTCGCTTAGCGTCAGGTACCCTCGCGCCTTTCCGAGCGCGTGCAACCTCGGGGCGAGCACGAGAAACGCCATGTACACCCCGACCCCAGCGGGAATCCATCGAGTAGCGAACCATCCCTTGAACCACGCCTCCCAGGCGATCCCTTCCACGGAATACGCCGAGAAGAGCGAGGCGGACAGGGTGAAGAAGAGCGCGACGCCGCCTAAACCCCGTCCCGCCCCGAAGTGGTTACGCATCGCGTCCCCGGCGTCGTTCGCCGCCGCCTTGTTCCGCGCGTACGCGAACCACGCCGCTCCACCCGATGCGCATCCGTACGTCGCGATGAGTCCGTACAGCCATCCGTAGTTCGCCATCGTTAACGAGCTTTCTTACTTTTGATGTTTCCTCCAGAGAGCTTCTTCTTCGTCAACTCAACGACGACCTCCTCGCCGTCGCGCGCGCGATGCCGCGGTCGTTCCTTACGCAGGTATTATCCTGAGTCAAGTTCCAGCGATGTGTTCTCAGACGCGATCGAGCGTGAGATCGATCGAGCCACTCGCACGACGCGCGGTTGTGGCGAAAACCTCATCCGCCACCGCGCGCGAGCACCGTCGACCCTGGTCCATCGGTCGAGTTCGACCCTGAACGTGTACGGTTGCAAGGTCCCATTCGCCTTTCGTTCGGTCGGTTCCGTGTACGGACGTCACCACCTATGAATGACATCACCGGTCGATATTCCAATGGAGATACCCGCATCGAAAGGTCATGAAACGTCACCACCTATGAATGACATCACCGGTCGATATTCCAATGGAGATGCCCGCATCGAAAGGTCATGAAACGTCACCACCTATGAATGACATCACCGGTCGATATTCCAATGGAGATGCCCGCATCGAAAGGTCATGAAACGTCACCACCTATGAATGACATCACCGGTCGATATTCCAATGGAGATACCCGCATCGAAAGGTCATGAAACGTCACCACCTATGAATGACATCACCGGTCGATATTCCAATGGAGATGCCCGCATCGAAAGGTCGTGATCGACACGGGATCAGCCCTTTCGGCGCGTCGATCGAGCGCGTCGATGGGCGAGCGGTGATGGTGGATGGTGTTACATCGGACGCGCCTTTCGAGGTGAAAGGGGTGAAAGGGGCAAGTCGGTCGAGGGCGTCGGTGTCGGAAAACGCGACGGTGCGCGAGACGTGTTCGCGCGGCGACGGGCGGCGACGCGCCGTTCGAGACGCGATCGAGCGCATCGGAGGACGGCGGGAACGATGGAGCGCGCGCCCGAACGGTGCGAGGGGAAGGTGCGCGTGCGGTGACGATGGGAACGCGAGTGCGGTTCGATTCCCGCGAACGCTGTTGTTCTTCGCGGCGTTGGAACGTGGGCGAGGACGCGCGCGTGGGTGACGTCAAGCTCGAAACGCGCGTTCAATCGATCGTGTGTGATGTTATGTGACCTAGAGTCGAGGAATTACGAGGGACGACGCGCTGCGACGACCGGTGTGGGTCGTTGCGCGCGTCGATTCCAACGCGCATCGTCGACGCCGTCGACGCACGCGGCGATGTCGCTTGAACGACGGTCACAGCGCTTCAATCGGAGGCATGACGGTGAATTCTTGTTTTCTTGGTCGTTTAGCGTCCTCGAGGCGTCCAATGGACGGGATGGGGGACGCTGAGACTCGAGGACGCGGCACTGACGATGACGTTTCGACGACGCAGGCATCGACGCGCCCCGAGTCGGCCGTTGATCTATTTAATCGCCCCGACGTGCGGTCATACGTCGATGATATGATCGCACATGGATCCTTCGTCCATCAGATGGCAACGGGGACACTTCCGCGCGAGAAGTACCTTCGCTATCTTTCGCAAGACGCGTACTTCCTGTTTGAGTTTAATCGAGCCTACGCGATGGCTTTGGCGAAGGCTGAGACGGTTGAAGAGCAAGCTGCGTACCACGAACTCATCGGTGGTGTGCTCGACGAGCTCAAATTACACCGAGGCGCGTGTGAGCGCTGGGGCGTCGACCTCGACGCGGCCACCATCGATCCAGCGGCCGAGGCGTACGTCGGTTTTCTTCGGTCGCTTCACAGTCGGTCACAAACCGAGCTCGTCGCCGGGATGGTCCCCTGCATGCGTCTCTACGCCCAACTCGGTCGACGATTCCTCCACGACCAGGAATCCATAGACGTGCGTCAATCGCCTTACTTCGAGTGGTTCGAAGCGTACGGCGGGAGCGAGATGGAATCTCTCGCGCGTCGACTCGAGAGTTTGCTCCCGCCCGTCGTCGACGCCGCATCCGCCGCGGCGTACGTCCACGCCATGCGCCTCGAGCGCGACTTTTTCGCCGCGCACGCGTAGAAATACCCACACGCACCCCTCTCGGTCGTTCTCACGCGTGCACGTCTCCCATCCCTCTCTCCGTCGCTTCGCGCCCGTCGACCCGCCGCGCCGTCGCCGTCGCCGCGCCGTCGACGTCGGCATCGACACACACATAGCGCTCAACGACCGCGAATACGAGATACCCCCCCCACGTTATCCGCGGCCCGCCCTCGGCACCGCGCGCGCGTCACCGCACGCCGCGACGCCGCGACGGACGCGCGCGCGCGCGGTCCCATCATTCGCGTCGCATGGACGCCGACGCCCCCCTCCCCGGCGCGGTGGCGCGGACGAGCGCGCGCGCGGCGTACGAGAATCTCTCGACGCTTCGCGCGCAAACATTGGACGCGCGCCCGATCGTCGCGACCGGCGACGGGGACGACGCGCGCGTGCCGGGGGCGATTCGCATCGCGCGAGACGTTCTGGAGGCCGCGATCGCGTCGAGCGGGGCGTCCGGGGCGCGGGCGATGCTCACGGAGGCTGGGGTGGATGCGCGCGGGACGGCGGTGGTGTTGGCGGAGGCGGACGGAGACGCGGAGTTCGTCGCGCGGACGCTGATGTGGATCGGACTCGACGCGGCGGTGGTTGATGGAGGATACGGGGCGTGGATAGAGGCGGGGTATCCGACGATTGGGAAGAGGTGGTCGGAGGAGGGAGCGAAGGATGGTACGGGGGCGAGACGGTTGATCGTTTGGGCGAATCCGCGCTCGCGGTCGACCGCGTTCGAGCGGTCGCTGTCGATGCACTCCCGGGCGATGGTGATGCATGAGATGCTCACGGAACCGTATTTGAAGGAGCGTAATCCGGAGAACTACGAAAAGATTGTGAACGGGCAGACGTCTCAAGAGATCGAGAGCAGCGTGTGCGGGTACTCGACGGCGCTCGAGGTGCTCACCGCAGACTTCTCCGGGCAAGGGAAGCCGTTTTTGATATCGAAGGAGCTGTCGTGTTACTTTGACGACGAAAAAATCACGGACGAATGGCTGCTTGCGTTCAATCACGTCGTGCTGACGCGAAACCCGCTGGACGCGCTCAAATCGTTTTATCGAGTAGCCGCCGAGGGAGACGCGGAAAGCTCTTACTTTGACGTCCACGAAGCTGGTTTTGTGGAGTGTCTCGACATCATGCATCGTCTGAACAGGATCGGAGCGAGATGCTTGGCGATAGATGCCGATAACGATCTCATGAAGAATCCAGAGGGGAGCCTGCGAGCGACGTGCGAGCTCGTGGGCATGGATTTCGAAGAGTCCATGCTATCGTGGAACGCTCAAGAGCGACCGTCATGGAAAAAGTTTCGCGATTGGCACGCCGATGCGTCGAAGTCTACCGGATTCATTGACGTCAAAAAGGTAGATATCCCGTACTCTAAGGAGGTATACGACGGCGCGCGATGGTGTAAGCCTTACTACGACGCAGTGCTCTGGTCATCAGTGGGCGTCATGGAAGGTTGGCCGACGTTGCGTCGCCTCGCTCATGGAGAGCATAGATTGACTGTCGTGATTTGCGCCAACGGAGAGCACGCTGGCCGGGATATGCACGCCAAATTTCTTGCCGCGCGGCTGCCCGGGGCAAGTGTGTACATTTTTCAACCAAAATGGGTCGAGGAGGCAGAGTCAGAGGACGAGACTCGATGTCTCTCTATATTCGAACAACCTCTCGTGCTCTGTGGTTCACTGGGGAAAGTGGTAGAGATGAATCAGGCATTACAAACTCGACTGAAATACGGTTCGTCTAAAGTTGCACGGGCGCTCATCGTCGAGGAAGGCGCGTCGGGAGCCCCCGTGGTGGCGCTTCCGTTCCCGCAGACAGTCGTTCGTTCACGAGATACAATGGAGGACGACGTGTTTATTGCAAAACTCTCCAAGATGATTGATATCGAACTGGAAGCTCTCCGCGCGTCGAGCGAGTCCGACACAGATTTTGCGGTGTTTGATCCGACAGAATCAAGTCCTTAAACGTCATGATTATACCGTCACTAGAAAACGATGTGCGTTCAATGCGTTGTGCGCATGACTATCGAAGAAAATATAGCTATAGGCGTTTTGCGCGCGACGTATTGATGTAAGTGTACGATACCAGTATGTGGCAGAAAGAGAAGTTTAACTCGTTACAAATGAGACTTCGCGTCTACTCGTTCTATCGACATTAGAACATAACATCACCTCCTTTTCGACTCTTTCCAAAGGTACCTTTTCTAAAAGATGCCCGCGCCTGTTGAAGACGATTTCTCAAGGCGTTATTATCTTTTGATTCCGCGTCTTTCCCGGAGTCGTTCTTATTCTCGCCTTCTTCTGGAGCCATCTCGGAAAGAACTGCCTCGAGATGCTGGCGATGTTGGATCTCCCTCTTCCTCCGTCTGTGATTTTCGTGTTTTTTATGACCAGCGGAGAGCGTGAGAACCAAGAGCATCAACACTCCTCCTGCAGCGATGATACCGTAGGTTTGGTTAATGTCGAGCGTATAAGACACCTCGGACGCGGTGACTTGGTTCTGGCACATCATTGGGGTGTAACTCAGGGTGATTTGATCCATTTTCCCGTCGAATTCCATCTCCATCAAGGTTGTGTCTATGACCCAGTGAAGGTTTTCGGCACACTCTGAGTAGTGTGTGGCAAACCCGCCCCCAGCTTTGAGTGCATTTGCGACTATTGTCATACCGCAATCCGACTGCGCCTGTTCAAGCTCGTACGCATACACGTGCGGAATGAGCATCGCCTGGACACCATTTTGAGTGAGGAAGGATTTTATGTTTGTCGTGGCTCGGATAGTTGCGAGAGGGACCTCGACCATGGTCAGCCACGGATATGAAGTCTGAAGCTGCGTCTTGAGCGGATCGCCCGTGAAGATCGCGACTCTACCTCCAACCATCTGAAGATCGCTCATGCTATTGATAGCCGAATTACTCACAGAGACCTCGATGATGAGCGCCGCGAGCGAGGCCGTGTATAGGGCGGTAAAGCACAAGGTACACATCCCCCAGATGACTTGCAGCGCCTTTGCGTGCGGCGAGCGCGGCTCGGCATCTAAACCTGAAGTGAAGCGCTCCCAAGAGAGCCACCATGACGTGAGTACACCCTCCAAAACACTAGGAATCTCTTCCTTGAAGTGATCGAACTCGAGATAGTAGTAGCACAGCGAGTGAAACGTCGTGAGGGCGAGAAATGCGAGCCACGCCTGCCATGTGAACGGCTTGAGCATGAGCGCCGGATTCAACGTTTTCGACGCTGCCTCTTTCTCTACTAGGAGTTCTCGAGATAAATCGGTGATATATCTCCCGGTCACCATTCCCTGACCCCGGCGCTCGTACGAATCCGTCCACCACTGCGCCGATAAATCGTAATTCAGGGTGATAATTGACTCCAAGTCCGTGTACGTCTCGCTCCCGATCGGCCCTCTCAACAGCGTCCACCGCACGTTAAAGTTCCCTCGGTCGGCGACTTCGTTGAATATCGCCCAATCGCGTCCCCCGAGCCAATCATCGCACGTGTTCGACGGGTCGCTGTCCTCGCAAATGACAATGAGCTCGGCGCCGTCGCGTATCCGGGATGAGTCGAATCCGTCGGCTCCTCCTTCCCTTCCTTCACCACTCCGGGATCCCAGATCACCGCCACGTTGAGCGTTTTCCCGACCAACAACTCGGCGACGAAATTATTCTTCCACCGCGCGTTCGTTGACGTTCCGTTCGACGTCGTCAGCGACGTGGAGAGTCCTTGGCCGTCGTTGGCGCACCAATCGAGGCTCCGAGTCGCGCTCGCGCTCGCGACGACGCCGAGGACGGCGGCGAGACCGAGCGCGTTCGCGCGGTCGCGCCGGGGCGACCGCATCGTCGAGCGCGTCGACGAGTTCGGGGGTGTGATGAAAATTCAAGGACGATTCGACGCGTTTTGCCACGTTGGTCGACGATTGCGTATGATCCGACATTTTAGCCGATCATTTTGTATAGGTAGGATGTAGCGGGGAAGCGCGCGCGGGAGACGCCGTCGCTACAAGCGGGGTGGTCTCTTTCTTCTACTCTATTTCTTTCCAAAGCCGAAGAACCCACCTCTCGACGATTTACTCTCGGAATCGGAAAGAGCATCGAGAGATCTCGCGGAGGTCCCGGGTTCGTCGTCTACCTGCGCCGAGAGCGAGGCGATGCGGTTTTCCTTGCTTCGCTTTCGAGCCGAGTTCTTCTTGGAACTGGACGAACTCAAGAAGGATCGATTCTTCGATTGTGATTCGACCTTCAGACTCTTGCTCACAAAAGAACGCATGTTGCGCATCATGGTGATGCCCACCGGGTTGACGATGTCTTTGGCTGGAGGAATCTTGGACAGCGCGACAGAAGTGTCCGAGGCGCGGACGCCGTTGAACGCGACGTGCGCCGGGGTCACTGTGGCTGCGCTCTTTGACGTTATGTTCACCACGAATTCATTCGGCGTTAGAGCCGCCAGCAGGGACCAAGGACTGCCATGCCAAATGACCGTGCGCACCTCCCGCTCCATCTGTTGTAATCTCAGCGATGGGTCTCTTATGATTGGCAGCTTCTTTTCCACAAAGAGCCGCAACACCTCGACCGCCGAGGCGAGATCCGGGGCTGGAAAGTCGTCCCCGAACCCGTCGACCATGATAACGTCTGGGTGTTGCAAGATTGCCTGGACAAAGGTGATCTTGAACACTGTGATCGGGTCTAAAAGGGTCGCGATGGACGTCATACTCACCATTGCCCAGTCTTCACGATACTGCGTACCCGTGAGAGAAGGAGTGAACGCGAGCGCGGTGCAGAGCTTCCACAAAAACTCTGAGTCGTATCGGCGCATACACTCCTGCATTAAGCGCGCCCGTCTACATCTGGGCGGAAGCCGAGACAGCTCCAGAGTGATGCCGACGAGAAGGTTTTGCATGAGAGACTCGCACATGAGGATGGATTCCTTGTCCCTTCGCAAGCGAACGACTGTCTCGTATCTTGGGTTGATGCATCCGACGCCGCTGAAAGCGACATCTGTACCCGCGAGAAGATTCATAAACGTCCTGGAAAACGTGCCTCTTGTCTCACGAATCCCAATGAACCCACCGGCCGGGATGTATTGAACTTGGGTACCGTGTTGATCGAACGCGGAGAGAGCCGTAAATATGTTGATGGCTTTCGTTCCCTGTTCAGGCGGTTGCAGTGTCAACGTCATTCGATCGAGGTAAATACAAGCTGTTTCGTTCTCATTGACCGAGCACAACGTCTGAATCGAGTTGCTCTCGTGATTTCGATGGAATTTAGTCTCATCTTCTTCTCCGTCTGCACCCGACTGGTAGAGCTTGTGCATGGCGTCCAAACGTCTTCTACGCGAGGAACGAATGTTCAACAGCGCAGCCATGTGTGCAACCTTCGATACAGAAGCCAGCATGACGGAGATATTGTCTGCAATCGCGATGACGGCGTTTCCAAGCTGCGAAATAGATGTCACAATGGCGATGAACATACCCACGGTGACCTTGTCGATTGCAAGAATCTGAGGTGCGAAGCCATACATGAGAGCGATCACCAAGGTGAGGCATGCGAACAAGGTCCACTTGTTGAAATAATCTTGATACCATCGCTCGAAAATACCTCCGTCAAGGAATAACCACAGCTTTTCATATTGTCGATCGGAAGTTCTTGCTTCGGTGTGAGATTCGCGGACAAGTCCCGTATTGCGGTACAGATAATGGGAGGTGTCGTACACCATCACTTCGAGCTCATCCTCCATGATGCCGGCGACATAACTTTTTCTAATTCTAAACGAAATGAAGAAAAGTGCTCCGAGGAAAATGACTCCAATCATTCCGATGGTGTAACCAACCAATTCTTGCTGGTCCTTGAAAGAGTAGGCGATGAAAACGGATGCACCGGCGAGGCGATACAAATCTATAAAAGTGGCGTGTAACCTCGCCCAGAGATCTGTCCGAATGGTGTTCGTGTCCGTCGAAGCGGAGACTCTGAACAGAGATTCTGCGCTGCCTATCGCCTCAAGATCTGCCGTGGAAAGACTCGAAAATTTTTTACCGAGAAGCACTTCCAGGTGGGTCTGTAAGACGTATGACCCGGGGAAGTAGTGCAGTCCGATGTGGTAACGGAAAAGTTCGATGGCGACAAAAACCATTGCAACTAATATGCACCAGTCCGAGCGTCGCTGGAGCAGACCTTCGTTCACCAATATGGCAAAGAATAACGACCATACGAATGTATCCAGGAGAGCCATGATACAGTTCACTAACTGATAGCGCCACGTCAGAGGGATGATCCACTCAAGGTCGATAGCCTCGTCCAAGAAACTGAACAGGAAGCGAAGAATCTTGTTGAAGCTGCTTCCGTCGGTCATGGAGAGCCTAAAGCCTTCTGGGAAAAATCCCATGGCGTGGATGAAGACCGCCACGCTGTCAATCGGGAAGATACGAGCCGCGCCTTCTCCCTTGACAGAGGTCATCGTGATGAATAAGTTCGTGGCTGGCGTCCAGCATGCGTTTGATAAGAATGGAAGGACGACCCGCATCTCGCATTGGCCGGGTTCGAACTCGACGCGCGTCCTACCGCCCGGCTCCGTCTCGTTAAGGGATCCAGGGCCGTTCGCATCCTCCTTCACCAAACGGTCGTAGTCCAGTCCAAGTTTGGCCGTCAGACTGGTGATTTCGAGCTCAGCGTGCGCCGGCACGTTGTCGACATGATTTCTTACGATGGTCAACTTCACGCCGTACTCATCATCACCCACATGAAGCTCTCGCACCTTGAAGGACAGCTCGGGCAGACCAGCGAGTGACTCTTCCTCGAGGTCCATGAGGTCATCCATTACGTGGAACTCCTTTTGCTCCAAACGATCGAGCATAAAGATTGGATTTTGTTCCATGGCGGCTAAGACTTCCTCGCCCTTTCTCTTCTGTGTATCGTAGTACTCCCCACGCCGGAAAACCCGCATCTGCTGAACGATCACGTAAATGAGGAAGCACCCAAGGGCTAGTGCAACTTTCCACAGGACAGTGAAATAGTAAGTATTTGGAATGATGTAATCCGACCACGCCGATTCATGTTCCTTCAACCATTGGCAAGCGGCCGCAAACTCCCTCTCTGTAACGTCAGGATACGTACTCGTGAGATTCATTCTCAGTCCTAACAGGTTCTGAATGTTCGTAAACGTGATTTGCAGCTCCTCCACGAGATAAAAGGCGTCGCTAAAGTAAATTCTAGAAGGTTCATGTGCCCCCTTTTCCAGCACTTCTTGACTGAAATCGCAGCTCTGAGCTGGGGACGAGCTCGCGTGAGCGTATGAATTGGAAAGCCTTTCTGGGATAACCAAATCACCATCGACGTTAAGATAAGACGCCGAACAGTACACCGGATCTTGCAGCGCAATTCGAATGTACGTCTGCTCGGTAATCGCGAGATCGGGTTCCCACCGGTAAAAGAGCACCGGGGTTGGTGTCCCAGTATCGGTTTTCCATTTCGCCCACTCCACCACGGCTAAAGAGTTTTGGTAGATAATTTCTAGAGGAAGGCCACTCGCGATTACCCGACGCTCGTGTTCACTCTTCACCCAAGCTGGGTTGTTGGATACGAGAGCCACGCATGGACGCATACCGCTAGTGCACTCATTCGTTCGATTATAGTACCTCGTGCAGCACCTAGCACTGGAAACAGGCGCGCCCAGAGCGACTGGCGCCCAAGATCCCGTTACGCAGTCGAGAGTACCGCCGTACCAGGACACTGTTGTACTCGAGGTCGGACAAATGGCCTTATCGTCTTCCGAGCCCTGGGAAAGATCCGTGACATTTAACTCGATTGACAAAGTCAAGCGTTGACCAATAGCCTTCGTCTGGTCGAACGCACCTGAAGAGTTCAACAAGGGCAAAGAGGACCACAGCTCTGGGTTCGGGACAGCATCAGCGTTGAGATACCAGCCGTTCCGCGCTACCTGACCGAGCGCGCCGACCAGTGTGTAATCAGGTATCGTCCCCACTGTCGTCTTGGACGCCAACGTCCTCCCCGTGGCTCCGGAGACGGGCCAAAGCTCGAGATCGAACACTGATTTCCCGTACAGCACGTTTACGTACTGCCGGCCCGTCTGCGTCATCGTTCCCAACAACTGCTGCGCCGAGCCATCCTTGTCCCACGTCTTGTACTCCACCGTGTAACCGAGTTTCTCCCTCAATAAGATCCCAAGCACCAATGTGGCCATGCGCTGGGACGCCCAACCCGTGATCACCTCGAGCGGTATCGTCGACTTTAACAGCACCTCTGGGACGTCCGGGCGCTGATGCCACGTCGACTCGTCCCAGCACGTCCGCGTCCCTTGCAGATCCAACGACACCACCCCGGCGTCTCCCTGGTAATAACTGCTCGTCGCGTACGTGTCTCCCGCCGCGGGCGCGCTCGCGGCGAGCGCACGCGGGGCCAAAATCGATGAAATCAGCGACATCAGGGCGACGCGTACCCGGTGGAATTTCAACCGCGCGCGTGCGCTTCGGCCCGTCGCGCGCGCGGTTCGCCGGGACCATCGCGGCGGGTGCGACGATGACGCCATCGAGGGCGTCGCTGGGCGCGTCGACCGCGCTCGGCGAGCGCGTGGGGGGACGATTGGGGACATTCGCGCTGTCGAATTCCGAATTCCAAACGGGTTTTGCGGCTCTCAGGAGTCGTGACTCGTAAACCGAGGGACTCAGGATTGGACGCGCGCGCGGGCGGCTCGCGCGAGGTCGATCGAGCGTCGATCGGGTCGAGTGAAAGAATGTAAAAGTTCCAAACGATCACGCTAAGAGTCTGCAAACGGCGTCGGCGACGTCGGGGGCGTTGGCGACGCAGGAGATGACGGCGACGCCGTCGGCGCCGGTGCGGGCGCGCACGTCCGAGGCGGTTTCGCAGGAGATGCCGCCGATGGCGACGATCGGAAGGAGGATTTCGCGAGCGACGGCGGCGACTTTAGCGACGCCGTCGACGCCAATGACCTGGGCGTCGCCCTTGGAGTCGGTGCCGAAGCAGGCGCCGCAGCCAATGTAGTCGGCTCCGTCGACTTTGGCGGCGCGCGCAAGGTCCTCCGTACGACAGCTCACACCGATCCACTTGTTCGGTCCTAAGATGTTTCGAGCCTCGACACAGGTCATGTCGGACTGTCCGAGGTGCACACCGTCGGCATCGACGGCGATGGCAACGTCGCATCGATCGTTGACGATGAACGGGACAGAGTACCTGTCGCACACCGCCTTCATCGCACGAGCGCGCTCCACGAGCGCTCGAGTCGATGGATTCTTATCCCGCATCTGCACGATGGTTACTCCGCTCTGAAGCGCTTGCTCGAGTTTCTCCAGCGTCAACGCCTCGCAGGAGACGAGATACAGACGCAAAGCGCTCGGCCGGAACACCTTGCCCATCGAAGCCGTCGCCGCGTAATACGGCAAGTGATTCAGCGGGCCGTGGCCCGTTCCGTACCCGGGATTCGTGCGAATCGCCTCCGAGATGTACACCTTTGCCCTTCGCACCGCGGTCGGGACGTCGTATCCCTGGGCTAGAGATGCCGCGATCGAGCTCGCCAGCGTGCACCCGGTTCCGTGCGTGTGCGGCGTCGAGAATCGCACCCCTTCGAACGTCGTCGTCTCCCCCGTCGCACGTTCGTATAAATAATCTATAGCCACCCCACCCTTGTCCTTCTCCGCGCAGTGTCCACCCTTGAGAAGGACCCACTCGCTCTGTAACCGCGTCCCGAGCTCTTTCGCCCGCGTCGCCATGTCCACCCGTCCGAACGCCTCCTCATCCATCCCCAGGAGCGCCGCCGCCTCCGGGACGTTCGGCGTCACGATCGTCGCCAGCGGACACAGCTCGTCTCGAAGATCATCGATCGCGTCGGCGTCCATCAGGCTTGCGCCGCCTTTCGCGCGCATCACCGTGTCCACGACGACATTCTTCAGTTGATGTCTCTTAATGTCCTGCGCGACGCGTCGCGTCGTCGGTCCGTCGGCGAGCATCCCCGTCTTCACCGCGTTCGGTCTTAAATCATCCGCGACGGCATCGATCTGGGCGGTGATGAATTCAGTCGGGGCGACGTGCACGTCGCGGACGCCCAGAGTGTTCTGCGCCGTGAGCGCGGTGACGGCGGTCGCGGCGAAGGAACCGAGGGCGGTGATGGCCTTGACGTCGGCCTGAATCCCGGCGCCACCGCCGGAGTCGGAGCCGGCGACGACGAGGACGATGCCGCGAACCATGGGATCGAGCGCGGGAGTCGAGGAGTGAGGACGAGCGCGGTAACAAAGTCTACTTAATGCGATAGCCTTCCTGGCCGTACGACTTGGCGGGATCGTACACCTCCCATCGATTGGCGGGGAACATGCCTTTATTTCTGTCGTACCACGTTCGGAGGATGACCTTTCCCGGATGGGAGTTCTCCACCTCGACGTCGGCGCCGCCGCGAAGGCGAACGTCGTCGCGCTTGTCGAAACGGAACAACGGGCCCGATTTTCCGCGCGCGCGGGAGACGATGAGGTCGTAGAAGGAAACATCGTGTGGAATAATGAGATCCTCCTTGATGAACATCATACCGCTCGCGTCGCAGTGCTTCATGTCGCGTTGGACCGTTTTCTCACCATCCTTGAGGAGCGACGCGCGCACTTTTTGCAGAAACTGTTCCACCGTGTCCCCCTTGACGCACGCAATTTTTCCGCCATCTCGCCTCGTTCCGTCGTAGTACGAGTACGTGATTGTCACACTCTCTCCCTTCTCCCGTCTCGATCGCTCCAAGTACTCGGACTCGATCTCCGCCCGCTCTCTTCGCTCCGCCTCCTCTCTCGCCCGGTCCGGGAGGAACTCCGTCGACACCGTGGGATCTTTCCCCATCCCTCCCCCGAACCTCCGCCGCTTCTCCCCTGGAGACGTCATGACTAAAGTCTCCTCTTCGTCCATCGCCGCCGACGGATCGATCTCCTCCGTCTCGTCGAACGACAGCGCGCTTCCCACGCGTTTCGCCTTTTTCTTTCTCCGTCTCGCCTCGCGCTCCATCCTGCGCGCTTTCTCTTCGTCTTCTCGCTCGATCGCGGCCTCCGCGGCCTCGCGACCTCGAACGAAGTCTTCGCGCGTCATCAGGCCCGTCGTGCGCTCGACTAGCGCGGCGTCGACGCGGTGGGCGCTGTTTCCGCTGGCGAAACCGACCAAGAGAGATTTTGACGCATTTCCATCCGCCGGCGCGTCCTGCGCTCGTGATTCGGTCGCCGGAACCGTCGTCGACGGCGTGTCGTCGTTAACGCCCCTCGTAGGTACGGCGGGGCGAAAGGGCATCGGTGAGCGCGGGGTCGGGGGGGGCGAGGAATGACGTCGAGGCGACCGGGACGCCGGACGGCGGTTCGAATGAAAATTCGTGCTAGTCGTATTAAAGGGCGGACGGCGTGATGGACGTCGCTCGTGGAAACGTGCGCGTGCTATCTTCGCCTGCGCTTGGGCGGGGGAGGCGGGGCGGTTTTGGCGTGCGGGTTGGCCTGGGGTGCGGCGTTTTGTTGCCACTGGGCCGGACGCTGCGGCGGCGGCGGCGGTGGCGCGCGCTTGCCCTGTTGCTGCTGCGTCATCACCATTTGCTTTGGCGGTGCGTACAGAACGCCACCGTACCCGGGCTTGTCCTGAGGAATCGGTCCCTTCCACGCGGTGTCTGGCGGCGGCGGCAGCGGGTCATTCGGTCCGATGGTCGCCGCCGGCGTCTTCGGAATCTCCGCAAACGTCACCACGCACGCCTTCCCGTTGATCTGCCTTCCGTGTAACTTTTCTTTACACGCAGCCGCGGCGTCCGACGTCGTGAACTCCACCGCACAGCACCCCTTGCTCTTCCCCGTCGCCTTGTCGGCGAAGAATGTCAGCGATTTCACCCGACCAAACTCCGCCAAGATCCCCTCCAACTCCGCGTCCGTGGTCCACCACGTGAGCGACGCCACGTACACCGCCGTGGGTCGTCCGTCGTCCACCGCCGTCAACGGCGACGCCGTTCGAGGCGGAATCGCGACGGACGTCGACGCCTTGGCGCTCGCGCTCGCCGTCCCGCTCATCCCTCTCGACGCAGTTTTCACGCTCTTCACCGGCGCGTCGTCGTCTACACGCGCGTTAAAACACGCACAGTTCTTCCCGTCAATCACCGCGCCGATACACAGCGCGACGCACGTCGACGCGGACGCGTCGTCGTCGAATCAATGCACGAATACCGTCGAGATCGCCGGATTCCATCCCCCATCCGCGCGCCGCGTCGTCGCGCACGCACCGACGTCGCCGTACAGCAGGGCGTCCTCGTCCTCGTCATCCTCCGCGGTCGTCATCGCGCGCGCGCGCGTCGCGGTCCCGTCGCGATCGAGGGCGCGCGCACGTCCGTCGACAAGGACGACGTGGACGACGCGGACGTGAAAGGGGAGATCGACGCCCCAGGGTCGATCGATCCCAAAGTCGCTTTCACGCCTTTCGATGTGGACATCGTGCATTGGGCGAGTCGGTGCTCGGCGTGCGAGGGTCGTTCGAAACGATCGATCGAGGGAGGGGCGCGGGCGGAGGGGCGAGGCGGTGGGCGCTCGATCGCGCGCGTGCGTTCGTTCGTCCAGCGTCGCGTCCGGGACGGGCCGATGGTGCGTCGATGATGGGAGGGAACGCGAGCGATGCGCGTTTTCATTTGAAACCAGTCAATCTAAGAGGTGCGGCGCGACTAAAAGGTGATTGTTTGGGTCGCTACGGGAGCGTGGCGCGGAATTTGGTGAGCCGCTTGAGCGCGGTGAGCCAAGCACTGCACTCGTCCCAGTCCCCCGTCGTGAGCTGCATTTGCGTCTGCTGCGCCGCGGCGAAGTCGAACGCGTCGAGAGCTTGGGCGAGCGATTTGAGCTTGGTGACGACCGAGTCGGAGACCTCCGCCGAGGCAAGCTTCCAGAGGAGCACACCGAGACGCTTCGAGCTGTCATCCATTTCCTTCCGCTTGGCGGGATGATTCGCAGCAGCGGTGGCGCACGCGTCGTATAGCGCGCGGAGCGCTTGAACGACGTGCGTGAGCTCCGCTGACACTTTGGAGGTGTCCACCGTCTCCATGCGACAGTCCGTGGGAGGCTGTGGTTTCGCCGGCGCGGGCGGCGGCGGTGTCGGAGCTTGCACCTGCGGTTGCTGTTGGGCAGGAGGCGGCGGCGCGAACGTCGACGGCATCGACGGCGGCGTCGGCGCCATGCCCTGCATCGGCGGTGGTGCCCCGTAGGCTTGCATTGACGGTGGAGGCGCAGATGGGGCCGTCCCATATGCCGGTTGCTCGACGCGTTGCGGAATCGAGGGCGGCGGCGCCGCAGGTGTGGGATCGAACGACGCCGTGGGAGCGACAGCTTGCGGCGGTGGCGGTGGTGGCGCACGCGATGTCGGTGGCGCCTGCGGTGGCGCGTTCTGATGCGACTGCATGGGCGATGGCACCATCATGGCAGGCATCATTGGCGGCGCTTGTGGCGATGGCGGCGTCATCGGCGCTGCGTGAGGAGCGTGATACCCTCCACCGCTCGGCGGTGGTGGCGGCGCTCCCATGTTACCGGCGGCGACTTGCGCCGCGACATTGTACGCGGCGGTCATCGACGGAGGAACGCTCGACGGCGCCGCTTGTTGCCCCATGCTGCCTCCATATGTACCCTGTGAGGCGTATGCGCTCTCCACTGGAGCGCTATCGTACGCAGTCTTTCGGGGTGGCGGTCCCGCTGGTGCCGCAGGTTGCGGTGGCAGCTGGGGCGCCATCGATACAGGAGGAGCTGGCGCCGAATATGCTGGAGTCGACGAAGACCCAGAGAAATATCCGCCCTGCATGTCCATCGGTGGAGCCGGGCGCGGCGGCGCAGGCTGTTGCGGAGGCCGCTGAGGAATTTGCGACGCCTGAGGCGGAGCGGACATGGGCGTCGGTGTGAACGTCGTAGGCACTGGGGGTGGTGCGAAAGTCTGCGGCACCATCGTCGTCGGAGGGGGAGCAGAGGTCGGTGGAGCCGCGGCATAGGCCCCGTACCCCGATGCGGGTGCAGAGCTATACGCTCCATAAGACGTCGGCGGCGGGGCACCATACGTTGACACATTCGAGGTCGGCGAGGCCTGGTACGGCGACGACGACGCCGGAACACTGGAAGAAACGGCTGGAGACACCACTTGAGTGCTCGTACTCGCCTTGGTGGAGACACTGCTACGAATGATTCGGTCGCGCAGGACGTTCACGTCTTCGCCCGGGCTCCCAGGAACCAT